ACCGGGAGCCGGCACCGGCCCGAGGGGGTGTTCGCCGGACTAGCCGAGCCGCGGGCGCCGCAGGGCCCGGGGCACCCCTCCACGCACCATCAGGAGGCCATCTCGAGTGCGGGCAGTTGCAGAATGGGCGGCTGGCGGGCCAAGCGAGCCGGCGATGCTGCGGTCGCCCTCGTCCTGCGTCCCCAAGGCAGGGTGTTGCTCAAGAAGGGCCCCAGAGGAGCGGGAGGGGGGCGCGGGGCCCGGCCGCGCCGGGGGACTCGAGCAAGGAACGATGAACAACCGTGTGAGTGTGATCTGTGATCTGTGATCTGTGATGTTACAGAGGCAATGCCCATTAATGGGCTGGGGGCACACAAGCCGTGCCCACTAGCTCTGGACTGTATGAAAGCATGCAATACCGCCCGGGCGGCAAAGGGCGGGCTCAGGGAGCGGTCGGGCGCAAAGGGCGGGGAGGGAGGCGAGGGGCGCCTGATGGCCAGCCCAAGGGCGGCAAGCATACCAGTGGGGGGGAGGGGCAGGTCGAGGACCCGCACACCACCACCACCAGAAAGCGGGCCCACCCACCCCGGCACAGTAGCTGGGAGAGCGGCCAGGCGGGCGGGCGGGGGCCGCAAAGGTGAAGGCGGCACGCGGGAAGACCGGGCAAGGGGAGGACGGGGCAAGCGCAAAAGCGCAAGCATCTGCGGGTTACGGGGGGGAGAGTAGGGGCGTGACGACCAGAACGGCAGGCACGGAGTGAGCGAAAAGAGGGGGGGACGGCGGGCCGCCCGGCACGCGGCGGCAGCAGCAGCAGCGGCCTGCCCGAACGCAAATCGCTCGGCGGCAACAGGCTCCTCCGCCAAGCCACGCCACCCCACGTCTCAATTCGCTGAAGGGAAAGCACCAGGGCTTGGGGCCGCGACACACGGAAGCGGGAATTGGGGGGAGGGGCTGGCGCGCACAAAACGCGTCGTAGGGGGCGAACAAGTCGCAGAGGGGGTGGACGGGCACCAACGGGGCACACGGGGGCTCATACAACGGGCCGGGAGCCGGCACCGGCCCGAGGGGGTGTTCGCCGGACTAGCCGAGCCGCGGGCGCCGCAGGGCCCGGGGCACCCCTCCACGCACCATCAGGAGGCCATCTCGAGTGCGGGCAGTTGCAGAATGGGCGGCTGGCGGGCCAAGCGAGCCGGCGATGCTGCGGTCGCCCTCGTCCTGCGTCCCCAAGGCAGGGTGTTGCTCAAGAAGGGCCCCAGAGGAGCGGGAGGGGGGCGCGGGGCCCGGCCGCGCCGGGGGACTCGAGCAAGGAACGATGAACAACAGTGTGGGGTGAGCCGCTGGGTTGGCGAATCTTGCTATCAATATAGAGTTGGAAAGTCGAGTTGACTGTTTCCGTTCGGGCATCTCATCCTGCCAATCCTAGACTGGGACTTTGGTCTAGTGGTATGATTCTCGCTTAGGGTGCGAGAGGTCGGCGGTTCAATTCCGCCAAGTCCCCATTTTATTTTTGGTGCCTCTGCATTGTACTTGCATGTTTTTTTGTTGATTGTATCAGCATGATCAGCTCGACACACGCGGCTAGCATCTCGTTGGATGACAAGCAGGCAAGTGGTGCCCAACCACCGTCAACTTCTTCAACCCAGTACGATTGCAGGCGGGGATATGGTTGCGGGGGCTGCAATCGTGGCAGTCATGCTCAATCTGCATTCCTGGCACAACCCAGCTTCTGGGATGCAACTGGGTTGTGCAACGGCAACGAGAGCGATGAGGAGGCGCGGTGGGCCATGCTGGCATCCTGCAATGACTTCTGAGAAAACTGTGGAGGGAATGGGAGTCTGTTCTGTTGAACTGTGTATTTTATGCCAATTGGGTTCAAGCCGCCGCTCCCCGCCTCCCGGTAGCCCTGGGACTTCCGTTGCAGTGCACCACATTGTTGCTTTGTATCGCGCTGTGGTTATAAATAAATGTTACCAGCATTTCAGTGCGATGCGGAAGAAAGAAGCAGCAGTGTGGAAATGGTTCAGATAAGTTACGTGTCTCGTCTCAATGCATCCCCAGGACTGGGCCTGGGCGCCCGCCACCTTCAGCGTCCACTGCTGCCGCAACATCCACGCCGTGTGCCCTCAGTCCTTGTAGTCGTTGATGCCGTCAGTGGCGATGATGTAGCTGGCCTCCGCCTCGGGCAGGTTGGGCGCGTCGACCACCTGCAGCCGGGGGCCCGGCGGGGGAGGAGGTCACACCAGGAGGAGGTGTGACACCAGTTTGGACTCCTGCCCACACAGCAGCACCCAGCAGGGAGGCGAGGAGGCACCTTCATCAACCGCTGCTCCGCCTTGCCCTTGCGCACGGACAGGCGGAATGTGGAGGCGTGCGCCAGCACGTGGCCACCCACTGCAGCGAAAGCAGCGAGGGGGCAGGGCCAGGCAGCCATGAGGAGGGCAGGTGTGACATGAGAGTATACAAGTGCCCAGCCTGGAGCCTCCAACGCAGCTCACCCGGCTTCTTGGGATCTGCCACAAACATGGCGCCGCCCGAGGGGTCTGAGATGACCTGGTTGGTGATGAGCACCGCCACATTATACTCCTCAGACATCTGCAGCAGCAGGGCAAGGCACAACACATGAAATGCAGCATTTGTAGCAGGACTAG